CAGCATTTTTGAACCTGTACTTTCATTTTCCCATGGGCCTTTTTCTATTTTACATTTTAATCTACCACCCTTCCTTTATACTTGAGCACAAGATGGCTAACAACACACAATCTGTAGAATGATCTTAAAACTGAACTTATTTCTTTTTTTAATTCCCAAATAATAATAAAAATATATAAAGACCACCCATGAAACAAACTCCACACCCAAAAGAATGTCCCATTTTCACTGCCACTGGTGGCACATCTATCACCACATAGTTGTTTGTAGGTGGCCTGGGGGAGCTACTGGTGGCATAAATATGTGTGTAATGCCACATCCAAGAGCCTTTTAAGTCAGTCTTTCACGAGTTTTAGGATTGACCCCTTAGCTTGTTTCATTTGTTAATTAAAAAACACCAACCACAGAAATTAGAGTTTTGTTTCTCCAGGCAGGTGCATATTTGTGGCTCATGGGTCTTGTGGAAATAATACAAAATGAACACCAGTTTTGGGAGAAATGAAGCCATAACTTTGATGATTAAACAGTAGGTGGAGGTAGTATGGCAGCAGGGTGAGGATCAAGTCTTTATTCTACTCAGCTTCTACTGATGGAATGGCATTCCTTTCAAGGTTGGGAAGCACAACCCTTCACCTTAGGAGTCGCCCAGTACTGAACTCATGTATCAGTGTTGAGCTCAGTACTGAACCAAGCATCCGGGGTCCCACTAGGGAACCCAGAGAGATATTCCAGGAAGGCAGTCTCAGGGACGAGCCAGTGGTTTCAAGTTCCCTGGAGGGAGGGGGGAACCTGGGAGTGGAAGAAGTGATTGATGTGCCCGAGGGGGAGGGAGATACTGAGGAGAGATCTGTTAGAGTAAGCTTAGAGCAAGAAGCAGGAAGGGCGTAGGGGAAAATATGGATTCAGAGCTGATTTGGGATCTAACAGACCCTAGGTCACACTCTCCTGTGCCCACTTTGGTGGTTTCCCACTGTCTAACACTCCTTCTAGGGATATAGTGTGTCCTCCCTAAAAGGGGGCACGTGTTGCGGTGAGACCTGGAGACCGACCTCCTGGTTGTGGGTGGGACTATTGGATAGCCACAACACCCGAATTGGTAGGTCACTCGTTGCTGGGTGTAATCTGACCAATGGGGTGCAGCCTAAACAATTCAAGGGACCTATTTAATCCCTTGCACGTGACCCAGAGATTCTCTTTCGCCTCTTGCAAACGGAACAGAGAGCAACCTGTCCTGTGTGTAGCTGAGAGACTTGCCTTTGACGATTGTCAGTTGGTGATATTGATTCCTTTTATCCTCTTTCCCGGTTCCTTTTTAATTTAATTTATTTTCTCCTCATCTTAATTTAACCCCCCACCAACCCTTCACCTACAAAAGGGTCTTTTCCCGGCGTGGGGCTTTGCACCCAGTAAAAGGGAGCTTGCCGTTGTTCCATCCCCATCCCCCAATTAGGCTTCTGCAGCCCCTTTGAAAATGGGGATGAATTCAGCTGAGGCTGACATTGGGCTTACCCAATACAATGTGGCTTTTATTCGCGGAACTGCGCCTGCTTGGTGGTGTGCTTGTAGGCGCCCACCCTTCTTTAAAATCTGAAGTGGGGGGGGACTTGGAAGAGTTGAGAGCAGCTCTTCCTGGACTCAAAAATTTTGGTCACTGATGGCAGTGACATGTGTGGCTCGGTAGCCAGTTGCCCAGCTGCCACCGAGAGGGCCAGGAAGTGTGTCCAGAGCACAGCGGCCATGAAGGTTCTGGCCTTGGGTGGGACGGTGATCTGTCACCCGGGCATTACCTTCAGTGATCCATCCCTTTACAGGCTTGATGGGGTTCATCTGTCTGTGATTGGGAATGATTTGTGGCTGACTGCAGTGTTAGTGGGGTTATGGGATTGGTTACAGGTGTGAGTGGTTGGCGGTGGGTGCGGGTGCTTGTGTGGTGGATAGGCACTGGTTCAGATGATAGGGATGGGAGAACGGTCTCGCCATCCTTATGTGAAGGGTATTCCATTAAAGGAATCCAGGGACTCAACTTGGTTTGGTCAACCCCCGAGAGGGGTTGTGCCTATGCCTGAGTCCAGGGGAGCATCTGGGAGAATGGACAGAGTCTGTTCCCGGGCTTTCCACCTACCACAAGTGTTCACCCTTGGCTGACTTATGATAGTGCTCTGGGTCAGTGCTACCTGCAACGGTGTAGGGACCTAGTCAAACCAGAGCCTATGCAACCACTCACTTTTCTGTAATCAATAAAGTTGTGGCCTAAATTCTGCCAAAAACCAAAACTAAAATTTGAGTCAAATGTGTTTTTATTTAGGGGGGAGGTCTCTGGGTCTGAACACGCAACACTTCTTCCACTAGCCAATTGTTTGAGTAAGTAAACTGGTGTGATCCTTACTGGCAGAGCCAGACAGGTCTGGGCAGAGACCTCAAAAAAGCTTCCAGCGTTGTGGATTAGGGATGTAGATTGCTCTGCCTCTCCTCATCAACTATGCATAAGTTTGCATGGCAAGCCTGTTTCCTATTAATTAAAGATTAAAATTATCTCAAAAATGATAGCAAAACCTCTGTGGCAGAACAACTGAATCACTTATGCTATTTGTAGACACACTGGAGCTGGAAATGGTTGCGGTAATCCAACATGTCTTCCACACTTTTTATCTATCTGGCTTTTGGGAAGAACCAAGTGGAAACGAAGCTGGTGGTAGGGATGGTAGAATCTGTCAATTTTGGTATCTCTGTTTCTCATTGTTTCCAATCTTGTCCACATTTCATCATCAGCTTGTCTTGATGATGATGATGATTTTAGAAAGTCACTCAGTGAGCCATTTCTGCTCTGACTGCAACTGAGAGATTTAAAGGGCAGCAAGATAAAAGTTTATATCCTATTCAGGAGATATTGTGCTCTGTCTGCTCCTTAGATATTTCTTATCTGCAAAAATAGATCTTGATCACCCAAGAAGAATGATAGATAAAGCAGCAGGGATGAGCAGGTCGGTTCCTATGGCTTGGTGGGCCACATGAGGACATGAGCTTTGAGTTAGCCATCCCTACCTTAAACTGACCTTCCCCTCCCAAAATAAAAGCTCTACAATTGTTTGCTTATCTATAATTTCTTTTTTCCTTCAATTACATCCTGAGTAATGATTGACTGCAGTGATGTTCCAGATGCACGCAACATAGAACTACACTTGTATATACTGTGTTTTTGTTGTTGCTTTTAAAAGAGAGATATTGAAACAGAGTCTTGTCACTATTTGTTAGCTGCTCAGGGATTTTTTTTTCAGCTGCAGATGCTATATATAAATAAAGTTTGTGACTGAGTTTCCTCCTATACCCTAGGGAGAAAAACCCATTCTCCCTGATCCAATACACCTGGCACATTAAAACAAGTAAATAAATACACAGACATTACTCCTGCGACTTAATAATAAATCAAGCAGCACCCATTGCATTTACTCAAAGTGTATAAATTTATTGTCTATAGTCAGGAGAGAATTCTCAACAAAGATGCATAAAGGTTGAAACACATGGGATCAGAAACTAAAAAATGTGTTGCAATGGATTAGGCAAGCACCATAAATTTTCAAGTGAGAATGCTTATTATTTTAATGCAAGAAAATTCACAGATAACAATAACAACTTTTTTATCTCCAATGAATGAAGTTTTTTCTTTAATTGTGACACTGGTCTTGAGGTCTTCATCAGCTTAATCGGACAATAGAAAGGTAAGAATTGTCTTTATTATAAATCACTTAGGGCACAATCCAGGACAAATTAATAGAACTAAACTCTACTATTTCAATGACAGAAGTTTAGAGTGTTCAGAAGAAGGGAAATAAGTTGTAGTTGTAAATATAATGGTTAATGTGTGTAGATGTGGTAGTAGCGATTTCCCCAAGAATTATATTCTTTCAAATTTCTCCATGGACTTTCCAATTAACTACTCTTGTTAATTGGAAATCAAACACAAAAATAAGTACCCACTCACATGTATCGGCTCTAAACAATTGGGACAACTGTATATACTTTTGCTATAATATGTGATCCCTATTCCATGGGACCATACAAGATCACAGCAGAGAGAAATGTCCTCCCTCCCCCACTGTTCCACAAGACCCGGCACTGCCACCTTCCCTTTTGTGTGCATAGTGGTCTGGACTGGGAAAATAATGGACTTCTCTTGCTCTATGTTGGACAGCAAAATAACACATGCTTAAAGCCATTGATAAAATCCCATTAAAGCCATCATTGCCAGCATCCTAACACCAGGAAAATCTTTAAGAAAAACATTACAAAGTGAAACTTTTCTAGAGCATCTCCTTGTTTAATAGGTTTAAAGTTTGGATATAGCCCTCATGACTACAGTTTACCATCCTAAGATTATGAAGCAAAGAAAAATCTCTGATAAATTTAATGAAAATAGAATTTTATTAATCAGTTGCTGGAATAGTAAATTTCAGGGGAACATATATTATTTTCATTAGTGTAAATCATATTCCTGTGATAATTTATTTCTGTGTTGTTTGGTTTTCTAATATATTTATTTTTTGCTAATGATATTAATATGCCAAAGATCCAGAGTAAAAGAGAGTAATTTTGTAAACAGAAATCAAAGCATCTCTCTGCCCTTCTGGCAGAAAATGCAGCATGTATTCTAGACACCCACTAATTCTAGGCTAAAGACCTGTGACAAAAGTGTATAGAAAATAGAGGTGTAAAAATGGACAAAATAATATAAACTGATTTATGAATAGAAATCTTTACAGTAAGACAAATTGATATTATATGAGAAGTAGTGATATTCATTTGAGAAAGAAATTATTTTGAACTAAAGTGCTAAATTAATAAAATCCTCTCACAATGAACTTTTGGCTTATATTTTTATTTCTTAATAGTTATTCTATGGAGAGCATTATTAATATTTCTTCAAAAGTGAGAGTATAAGAGCCACCATTTCCAGTCACTAAGTTTTCATGAATGTTGTTTTGGCAGAAAAACACCTGATTCTGATGAGAGAAGGAAATGACTCCACTGTGAAAGAATTCATCCTTCTAGGTTTCTCTGGATCTCATGAACTACAAATCTTCCTTTTCATCCTCTTTTTCTTTATGTACATCCTGACAATCACTGGAAATGTGGCCATCATAGCTTTAGTGCGAGCCAGACGACAACTCCACACACCCATGTACTTCTTCCTCTGCAATCTTTCCTTCCTGGAGATATGGTACACATCAGCCTGTATTCCCAAGACTTTAGCAATCCTTGTGTCCAAGAGCCACCAAACCATCACCTTCACAGGGTGCATCACACAGATGTACATTGTTTTCTCCTTGGGATGTACAGAATACTTCCTGCTTGCTGTCATGGCTTATGACCGCTATTTGGCCATATGTCACCCATTGCACTACCACACCATCATGTCCAAAATGTTGTCTGTCCAAATGGCATTGGGATCTTGGATATGTGGCTTTGCAGCGATTTCGGTACCAGCCTTCCTTATTACCCAATTGTCTTTCTGTGACTCCAATGTTATCAACCACTTCTTTTGTGACATTTTGCCTTGGATAGTCCTTTCTTGTACTGACACGTACACATTAGAAATGGCATGGTTCATACTTGCTGGTATTGTCATCATGGGCTCATGTGTGATAACTTTAATATCCTACGTTTATATCATCACCACAATATTAAAGATTGCATCTGCTGAAGGCCGTCAACGAGCCTTTTCCACCTGTTCCTCCCATCTCACAGTGGTGATAATATGGTATGGTTCCACCATTTTCCTACATATCACACCTGCCAAGCATCAGTCACTAGAATTGACCAAAACTGTCACTCTCCTGAATACTATTGTAACCCCTTTGTTAAATCCTTTCATTTACACACTCAGAAATACTGAGGTGCAAGAAGCTTTCAGGGCCACATTCAGATTCACAACTATGTTACAAATTAGCAGAAAAGACAGAGGTTGATGTTCTGTATATGTGTCATTTGCATGGTGCATGGGACATTTCCTGGCAGTGCACAGAATCATCTGTGCATTTGATGTAGGACTTCTGAATTGCTACAGTGTCCTTCCCTATTCTCATTGCTCTCTGTCACCACCATTCTTTATCATCCTCATCCATTTACTAAAGATGGAAGTATTAAACAGAAGCTTAAATCTCTCAAATTCACATCAAGTGAATTTCATTTCAAAGGGACTAAAGTAGGCATAGGCAAACTCCAGCCCTCCAGATGTTTTGAGACTACAATTCCCATCATCCCTGACCACTGGTCCTGTTAGCTAGGGATGATGGGGATTGTAGTTCCAAAACATCTGGAGGGTCGGAGTTTGCATATGCCTGAACTAAAGCATCCCTTTGACCCAATTCCAAATATCTGAGGAAAATAATTTTATATTTAACATTGTTTCAGAAATTGTTCTCAATACAGGGTTGGCCTTCCCCCTAAATAATGCTACATTCTCTGATTTCAACAGGTGTAGGAGAGCCCCAAGAATGTGCATTATGGCCCCAGGTGCAGTGAGCCCAAAATTGTTGGGGTTGGAGCATAGGAAGAAGTAATAAAGCCTACCACACTTCTGAGTGCAAGCACACCCAGTTCAAATAAAATGGAGGCTGATCTAAGGCAGGGTCAGATTTCACTCAGGTCCACTTCAAAAGTCCAGCCCCTTAGCTCGCCCATGATTGGTCAATTCACGGGCAAGTCCCGACAACCCCTGCAAATGATGGAGGAGATTACATTGTCCATTGGTCATGTGGGAACAGGAAGTTTCCCTCCTGACTCCCCCATGACTGCACCAGTCTACAACTCTCATTGCCACTGGAACGGTAAATTGACTTTTCAGAAGAAGGCAAACATCTCAGACTCATACCATGTCCCTCTGTGGATCAATGAGGAGAAATTGAAAGAAACTAAGACAAAGCAGTAAACTTATCATTGCTTCCCCTTAATTGTGTTTAACATGAAGGTCAACAGAATATGAATAAACATTTAAATGGTTTAATATGCATTATTTACGGACCTTCAAGCTTCATGTACATTTTTACTGAACTACTGTTGCTGCTACTATTTCCTTATCTCTCCATTGGTAATAGCACATACCCTCCAAATGCCCCAAAATTGCTGGGACTGCCACAGAAACAATTAAGCTATCACTGCCACAAGAAGTCCCAATTTAAGCTGCTCTTAAAGGGGCTTGCAGTTTTAGTGTAGCTGCAATTTTGTCCATGGCCCCTTTAATAGTAGCTTGGCTTCTCATCTTCTGCGCCGTCCATAAATATGTTATGCAGAGAAGAAGACGGGGGGGGGGGGGGGGGTTGAAACAAACATTGATGGTGGAGGGCATTTTTGAGTTATGGTGTTTTCAGAGCCTGCAGGACCCAGTAGGAGAGGAGAGGGGAGGGGAGGGGAGGGGAGGGGAGGGGAGGGGAGAGAGCACTTTCAAAATGTGAGTCTACCCTACTAGGAGGCTGGAAGTATCTTGGCTCTCTCCCCTTCCCTCTTGTGCCTTCAGACCAGGGGTTGCCAACTTTTTTTGAGCCAGTGGGCACATTGGAATTTTGAGGAGGTGCTATGGGAACCAGTCACAAAAGGACTATTGTGTGGTCATGGCATAACACAAAATGGCTGGCATGATTTCATGGCATAACATGAAATCGATGCCACAATTAAAAGAGCAGAAAAAGAGACAGGTATAGGTATGCATCCATCACCTTCCTCCATCAATTGTGGTGGAGGGGTGCATCTATATAAGTCACCACTGCAGTTGTTCATGAAGAAAAGTTTTTTGCAGCTTCCCTTTCTTCAGAATGGGGTGGAGGGTGCATATCCATTCCTCATATCAAATGAAGCATGGGACTGCCTGAGAGGGTATGTTTAATAAAGGAGAAGTTGAACCAGTGCCAACAAGATCTGAACAGGAAGAGCTAATAATCTCTGATACACTATGTTTTTTTGAAAGGATATATATTTAGAACACTTGCAGGTGCCATACTGGGGGGGGCACCCTGGTGTCTGTGGGTGCCATGTTGATGCATTCTTCAGAACATTCCCTCATACTGCTGTGGTGATTCTACAATGGTGGCTTAGTTGATAAACACCTCGCTACAAACTGAAACATACTACATTGCGAACAGGACCCAGTGGGGAGACGTAGATTCAAGCCATCACTCAGCCAGGCTCTGGTGTTTTTGAACCAGTTACCGAATGTGGTTCTTTAGTGCACATTTCTCCTTATATAAACGATTGTGCAAGCAATTTCCAATAACAGGATGCATTTTTGTATGTTGTCTCAACTTATCTATGCATTTTAAAGCACATTTCTCCCTATTATATGCTTTTTGAGAATTTTGTTGTTGTTGGAGACCTAGGGTACTGTAGCCAAGCCAAGGTCAGTCGGCAAATGAAGCAAAGAAAGCTAAATCCCACTGATTTCAATAAAGTGCCGCCTTTCAAAATATTGTTAAATGTGTTTTATCAGTTCAGTAGAGAGGCAAATGTATGGTAACTGGAAGAGAAAAAAGAGAGGAGAAGGAAGGTGGAGGAGAGAGAAAGACACCTTGTTGCTATCATTAGCCACATTCTAAGTGGATCTCCCAGCATTCCATAAACTTATTAACGTAATAGGACAGAGGTGGGATTTGTGACTAAGCAAAGCCATAAGAAGGAAATCTCTTAGGCTATGAGAAGTTAAAGCTCCAGGGTTCTACTCATTTAGGATTTCTTGTTTAACTCCTTTGAAAAATTACATCCCTCACATCTGAGCTTCTCATCACCTTGAAAGAGGACAGATGTAGAAGTGCTTCAGTAAGAACTTTAGAACCATCCAAGTATGGATTTCCTTCTTTTTTTACAGTTGCCGTTAGAAAGCATGGAGAATGGGCCATTGAAAGGTCTACCTTCCCCAGAACTATTGCAATCCAATAACTAGTTAAAATGAAGATGTGCAATGTAATCATGTCTGTTCAAAAGTAGGCATTGCTGAATCCAATGGGTCTTACTCTCAGGTAAGTGTGTACAAGATTTAAGTCTCAGGGTTCTAGATACATTGAAGCAGCACATGCTCCAGCCAAATTTAGTAAGGTGCATTAACTCAATTTGAAGGCAGTTCACATTCACACTATACATTTAAAGCACTCTCCTGTCACTTTAACAGTGATGGCTTCCCCTAAAGAATCATTGGAGCTGTAGTTTGTTAAAGGTGCTGTGAGTTGCTGTGGGACCCCTCACAGAGCTACAGTTCCCAGCACCCTTAACAAATTACAATTCCTAAGATATTCTAGGAGAAGCCATACCTGCCAATGTTTTGCAAATGTTATACAGTAAATGTATTGTGTGGATGTGACCATAAATTTGGCTGAAACAGACCAATGGTTTTTTTTAAAAAAAATATTCAGAGTTATGTTATAAGGATATGAAGAGATATTACAGAAACTGACAACCTGATTATGCCTGTGTTATTGTTTCCAAATCCAGTTTCATTGGAACTTGATAGCTTCAGCTTCTTTTTCTTCCTCCTCCACTAGCTGTCTGCATTTGAACAGGTCAGTGACAGCAGTGGGGTCATCATTTTTATTTCATGTAGGTATCACATACTTTTAAGTGTAACCTTATATTACATAGAGGTCAATTGGGAAATTCCTGTTTGTCATGGTATTTGACTGTATTCCAAATTAGCAATGGAGTATTTTGGTAACATTTATTACCTTTTTAGAGGGTTATGGTTTAGCTCTCAATCTTGAAAACCATAGAGAATAGCTTGAATTGGTTTTATTATTAATTGAAGATATATACCGTAAATTGAAAGTCAGAAATCATTCTCCAGATGCTAGACTCACAATCACATTTCAACTAGAATAAAACCTGAAGTGTATTTTGACAGTCCTGTACTATGTATGGCATCCAATGCTGTCTTCCCAGCTCCACAACAGAAATTAGTGTTTGCAATGCGAGCTCAGGTTTCTCTTCCCCTTCCTCCAGCTTCTCATGCACATTCCAAAATCTGGTCCTGAAGGTCCCCCAACCTTCCAGAGCAGATTTTTGGCTGTATGGGGGGCTGCAGTGAGGAGGAAAATAAATTTTAATCTCAGACCAGGAAATGGATCTTCAGCATACAATCAAAATTACAAGCCACTAGTAAATGCAAGTAAGATGTTCAAAATGAGCAACAGGTGCTCTCCTGAATTGAAGAACAATAGCAAAGGCTGAATAAATCTCTGCACACATTTTTAAAAGTCATTGAAATTGTGAATAATCACATGAGTAAGAATCTTGTGACTATTTTATTAGCTGCTGATCTACTTCTCATCTGATTTGCCCCGTTACTAATTTCAGACTTTCCAGATTGTTTTTTCAGACTATGCCATAATTACTAGTATAAGTGGAATTATTGATATGACTGATGCCACTTTGAATGAATCAATTTCACTGATTGTCCCCCCCCCCAAGAATTGTGCTTAGCATGCTCTGTTTTTATTAACAGCAGAAGCAGCAATTAACTTACAGAAGAATGTGGAACCAAACCTCACATGTAGAATTCATAATTATGGGTTTCCCTGAACTTCCACAGCACCAGTTATATTTATTTGCATTTTTCAGCACTATCTACCTTCTAACTCTTCTGGAAAATGTCCTCCTCATTGTGACCATTTCATTGAACAACCACCTTCACACTCCCATGTACTTCTTCCTAGGAAATCTCTCTCTTTTGGAAATATTCTATGTCTCAGTAACAATGCCCAAATTGTTATCAAATCTATTGTTGGGTGAGAAGACAATTACTTTGGAGGGCTGCATCACTCAGCTGTATTTTTTCTTATCTTTGGCTTCTTCTGAATGCTTTCTCTTGGCAACTATGGCCTATGACAGGTATTTGGCCATTTGCTACCCATTACATTATGCAACACTCATGAATCACAGAGTATTCACTGTCTTGAGTCTGGTTTCCTGGCTGGGCGGCTTCCTGGCT